GTTTTGTCCTTAAAAGAAACTCAAAATTACATTATTATGCAACTTGTCCCTGTAAGCAATATCTTGTATAATTAGGTTGAACATAACACTCTTTTCCGTAACAGCAATTGAAATATCTTGGTTTAATTTTCGTTAAATTGATAACCGTCAATCATTTAAGTGCTCACTGGAGCTTCCCTTTTCATTAACCGCAGTTTTTCTCTATACTCATACAATAAATTCCATGATGAAACCAGACAACACTGGTGTTAATTCCCTCAAGTCCATTGTCGATATCGAGCTATAAATCCAGCGTATTCAATTCCCGATGGTGCTCTGTCGCTTTGTCAATAATAAACGAGCAGCATTATTTTTACAATGCCATCCTTTCCCAAACGCATTTCCATGGCTGTCTGTCCCTAATTGCTATTTATAGCCTCACAACACATATTCGAGATACATATTTCAGAGTTGGTGGGAGTTTTCCAGTCATTGTTATCTTGATTACTGTTTCCTTGCCTTCCGTGATAAATCGGATGGACTCACAATTTCAATCGGAGTAAAATATTCCAATTCTTTGGTCACTCCCATTTGAATTGTTGAACGCTTTCTCAAACACCTGAATGGAAAATAACATTATATTTTCAAACCAGAATGTGATAAAGGACTTGCTCAGTTTGTTAGGGAACTGTGGCTAACCAAGGACAAAAATTGTAATAATGAGTGACTCGCATTTGCAACTGAATATAACAAAAATATCAGGCTTTTTACATATAGTTAGTGAGCATACTTGAAGGCTGAAGCGGACAACAAACAACCGGTTTGTCATCGCCCCATCTACCTGTGAACGAGGTAACCAACAACATATCCGAGTGGCACTGACGAGTGGCCAAACAGCTCGAAACTGGTCTGCAAGTGTGTTCCAATAATTGAAAATCGATTGCGGCAGTTGTATTGCCAACAGCATATGCAGGAACAACTTCAGTGAAGAATCCTGCACCGACACCTCTCGGATATAATCCTTCGTAGTATTAGCCACTGGAGTAGTTCTTTTGTGATAGGCGTCAGTCTATCAACCTACAGTGTGGGGAGCTGATACTGGCCTGAACGAATTTTTCCTTCAGATGATCTAATTTATAGCCAGTCTTCAAGTATGCCCACTGACTATATGAGAAAATTTTTTTTCTTGCACGAGGAATTGGACACATTTCGGATATGCGGTAGGTTACCTCGTTCACAGGTAGATGGGGCGATGACAAACTGGTTGTTGGTTGTCGGAAGGAATTCCATTTTCAATTGTCGGAAATCATCGACTTTATGTTGATGATAGACACTATCTTGCACTGACGAGCGGCCAAACAGCCCGAAACCAGTCCGCAAGTGTGTTCCAACAATTGAAAATATATTGCAGCAGTTGAATCGCCAGCAGAATATGCAGGAATAACTTCAGTAAAGAATCCTGCACTGACACCTGTCGGATATAATCCAATGACCTTCGTGTTATTAGCCAGTGAAGTAGTTGTTTTCTGATAGGTGTCAGTCCATTAACGTACAATGCAGGGAGTTGAGACTGGCCTGAACGTATTGTTCCTTTAGATTTAAGATGATTTGAAAAATATCGGGAAATAACAAAAATGTTTGGGAAAGAAAGGTTTTGGATTTCTACTTCTCCATCTTGATACAAAAAGAGGATGGAAGCAATCTATTTCAAAAATTAACTCTATACAAAAATGTATAGATCATGCAAAGAAATAACCTTCAGATAAAAACTGGAAGAAAGCCCTCCTGAAACAGCTACTTTCATAAAAACGAAAGAAAAAAATCTTTCGAAACAAATACTTTTATATGAACACTGAATTATACAGAAGATACTTTTCTCTACTCAGTTTGTATTCCAAACATTCGTTATGGAATAAAATCAGATATAATTCACAGGAGTTCTACTTTAAATGAATGGCAACAAATTGCACTTATATGGAACACTGCCATCTTCACTCCTAAAAATATAACCCCTTCAATTTAGATATTCATATTTGGAGTTATTTCATCTACTTACATCATCTCAATCATATACACTATTCGACACTTTTTTCTTAGTGAATAAACATGATTATTATTGTTATCAAAAATGGAAAACTTTTGTCCATTTACAGTTGTTTGGATGGCTAGTTGATATTCTTTCAACTCCCCGACAGTTCTGATGACCAGATTTGTCGAAGTTTGTGCTGATACTTGCCGCGGAGAGAGTTCTTTATGCTGTTATCTCTTGTGTGTGGCGTTGTTCCACCCCGTGGGAAGTATACGTCACTCCGGCATCCAAAAGGTGTAGGATGCTTCCATCTACGAGCTGCACATCCTCTCCGTAGTCCCCGTCGTCTTTCGCAGATGGACCATTGTACATTTGTCTATCCCGAATTTCATACCGATAGAATGCGTGAACTCTTCCACCACTCTCAAGAACTGATGGAGATCCATCTCTCCAGAGGCATGAAGTTTAGGATAATCCATATAAAAATGGCTGACCTTGTGCCTTCGGTTCCCTGGCTTGCCACAGTTATACGCTCGAGTATTTCTGAGCGCAACATATAATGGCAATACTGAGATGCAGAAGAGAAGGCGACTGAGGGAATCACCCTGAAATGCACCCCTTCTGCAATGACCCACCTTGTTTGAACTCTTGCTTGACCAGATGTTATGTTGAATAGAGTTCGCCAAAGTGGTATCAGTTGTTCAATGCATTTCACTATTTTGTCGGGTACCGCAAGACATATAAGCAAATGCAAGATGAGCTCATGCGATATTGTATCAAATGCCTTACGGTAATCGATCCAGGCCATAGAGAGGTTACGCTTATATTGTATCGAGTCCTGCGTTACACATCTATCGATTAGCAGGTTCTCTTTACATCCAGCGACTCCTCTCTTCGACCCTCTCTGCTCACATATCCGTTCAAACACTCGGTCAACTGCGATGAGTATTCATATGTATAAGATACTTGTAAATTTTATCGGTCTGTAATTCTTAGGAATCGACAAATCTCCGCTTTTGGGGATTAGAACGGTCCGCCCCTCGACAAACCAATCCGAAATCGGCTGCTCTCCGTCCAGTCATGAGTTGGAAACTCTGGCCAGATGTCGGTGGGTGCTTGTTAGTTTTTTCCACCAATAAGTGTTCAGCCCATCAAGGCCTGGAGCAGCGAAGTTTTTGGAACCCACAAGGGCTCTCCGAACGTCATTCAGTGTTATCGGGTTGCGCAGTTCATTGAGCTCAGGCTGTCGAAGCTCTCTGTTGAAAACTTCGAACTTCACTAGGGTTGGAAGTTGAAAGGCTGCGGGTGTTCACAGATATCCTTCCAGAAGAATTTCACCTGATCAGCGGTCGGCAGATTATCCACAACACGTGGGGGCTATTGGAATAAGTGAGAAGGTTTCTGAATATTACTGGAGTTTTTTCCCAACACCAAATCGTTATTTTCAACACCTCGACACGTGTTTCGATCACCAAGTGATCATCTTCAAAGAGGAAGATCAAAAACATCTCTTTGAAGATGATCACTTGGTGATCGAAACACGTGTCGAGGTGTTAAAAATAACGATGTGGTGTTGGGAAAAAACTCCAGTAATATTCCTTACTACACCAAAGGTTCCAGTGCATCATAAGTGAGAAGGTTTCTCGCGGAACTCAAGGTTTGCCGCGATACTTCTCGCTCGCCTCACTAGTGACTTCTTAGCAGCCACTAACATTCGTATCCTATCAAGGCAGTGCTGTTTGTTGGTCAGCAGCACGCCTTGACTTAAAGTGTGATGGATACGTCGTAGATTGGCGGCTATTCGCCGCACTGCGGGCGTAAAAGGCCTGTAATCCATCACACATTGTATACGAGACGCGTGTTGTCTTGTCGACGTCATCTTAGCCTGCATCTTGTGTACACGCCGTTTAATCTTCTGAATCGTTAGGCCGGGATTTCGTCCTTCCAATTAGAAAAGCGATTGGACGACGCTATACACAGCTGTGTTAGAACACTATGAACCTCCGCATCCGAACAAGCCAGTTCTACATCAGTTCATATTTGGAATTATTTTATCTACTTACATCACCTCAATCATATATACTATTTTATACTTTTTTCTTAGTGAATAAACATGATTATCATTATTATCAATAATAGAGTACTTTTTCCCATTTACAGTTGTTTGGATGGCTAGTTGATATTTCTTCAGCTCCTCATGTAGGTTTTCTGCGTTTTTAACCGAATTGTTGCCTATTTGAAGTTTAATTATTTTGTATGAACTCTAAGATTGTAGATAATTTTGTTGGTCAATTGAAATCCACGATAAAATGCACACACTATGGACACTCATCAGTAACATTTGATCCTTTCTGGTATTTCTTTCTCCATACCACAAAGAACCGATCAACTGAGTTTGTGGCAATACTAAGATTGGTTCACAAGAGAAGAAACTTTGGTTGGAAATGAAAAATCGACTTGTTCGGAATGCAAAGAAAGGAGAAAATGCACAAAGTCCCAATAAATCCACAAGTTCCCTCATATTTTAGTAATCCATTTAAAAAGATTCTCTCCAACGGAAAGATTTAGAGGTAAATTGAATGATGTCATCGAATTTCTACTAGAAGGATTGGATATGGATAATTTTGCAGCAGAAAATGTGGCTACTTGTTGTTATAATCTATATGCACTTTTAATTCACAGTGGGACTACTTACAGAGGGCATTATACAGCATACTGCAGACATCTGCATACTAGCGCGTGGCACAAATACAACGATTCACATGTGTCACCAATTTCACCAAAATCGGTTGTGAGTGGAGAAGCATACGTCCTCTTTTATAGAAAGGATGGAACAAAATCGCACCTTTAAGATAACTGAAGGAAATTTTCTTTGTGCAATTATTATTTATTTTTTGTTAAGTTCTTACTTGTACCTGTTTCATCAATGTATAATAGTTTGACTATTAATTCAATAATTTCACTAAGAGTAGGTATAAGTGAAATTGAACTGTGAAAATAGTTGTTTTACTCATAATGAAATATCAATTAATTTCATACAAATGACATTTGATCACAATCATAGGTCGGTTGGAATAATATAAAAGCATTTTCTTTAAATCCATAAATATAATCAAATCTGGCTGAATAAACATAACTTATTCAATAATTGATTAATTCTTTTATCTTTCCTAAACACCTCCACTTGTCTGGCAAGTAAAATGGTTCGAAAATATGAGGAAACGGTGTATCAAATCCCGTGACGCGAGCAATAGGAGCTTCAAGATGTAAGAAACATTCTTCCTGAAAAAAAAATTACAGTTAGAATTCAATAATGGCAATATGTGGTAATGAAATTTTATATCTCAATTTTGATTTTTGTCAAATGGAATCCAGAAACGATCATAATTTTTTCCGTAGAAAATAGTAATTTTCCAGTATATCTGTCTTTCCAAAGAACTGAATAATATGTGGAAAAAAAATTCGAAATTATATTTCGCGAAAATATATAGGCTCCAAATTCCAATAAATTCGAAATCAGGATATCAGTTCTACTACCAGTACGGATTTCTTTTTTAAAATTTCTGATGAAACCAATTCGTCTCACTTCTCATCCGTAATTACTGGAGTAGAACTATGTAAATATTTCAGAATCGGTAGATATACTGGCAACGGGCCTGAATATGAATATACACGGCTCGCCAGGAGAGACGAAATCACACAGTTTTGTGAAAAAAAAAATATAAATTTTCATGTCAATACAGGTTTTCGCTGAGAAACTGATAACTGAAAACCAATTAGTCTCACTTCTCTTGGAAACACTTCCGTATCTTCCGTAGAAGATACGGAATATAGATAAGTAGAACTTTGTGAATTGAGAATACATTTTCCCAACCGGAACTGGAGTAGGTACCTACATATTGCAACACCACAATAGCCGTTATTTTTAAATAAATATTCTAATTCGGCAAACCACTAAAATTTAGATATTTTTACGTAATAATTGAATGGATGACTGAAATCATTCGAAGGAGCTGAATTATATCCGATTCAATAAATAAAAATCAACGGGTTCCCTGAGATCACTATCAAGAACAGTTACTCACTGATTTTTACAGTCAACTTGACAATATCGTTTGAATATCTCGTTGTGTCAACTCCCATGAATGACAGCTCTCAGTGCTTTTATTCCTGTTCATATTTTAATATTTCTGAAGTTTCTATTTTGACTGATATCAGCTTAATTTGATTAACAAAGTTCAACATCGTCGGTCACTTGAAGAAAAAATTTAAATTTATTTCAATTGTTTGTGAAGGCGTGAGGTCTGATCGTATAATAATATATAATATCTCCATAAGTCCCGGCCAAATAACAAAGGACAGAAGAATCTCGATAGAACATATCGACGAAGATACTATTATGACGACACATCAAGCTGATCCATGAATTATTTTCAAAAAATTTCCGCTCAATAGAGCCGCAATGTGTTTTGTATACGACAAAACACATTGCTTTTTTTTCGATCAAAATCTAAACGGACCACTATCCGTTGATTTCCTCGAAAATGCATTTTCTGATGTGTAGGAAGAACTACACCTAAATAAGATAAATAATCCCATTTTCAGTTGAATGATCATCAGTTCACAATAGTTGCATATCAAAGGTTTGGCTAGAAAAAACCTAGAAATGAAATGAATAGAAACCAATAGTCTCCTCGAAGTATAGTCACCATGATCCCCAGATCTATCTCAACATAATTTTCACTTAAGGGAAACGTGAAGTTTATATGGATATTCCAGACAATAGCGTAGATCTCCGTGCAAGAAATATACAAGCATGCAAAGAAGCCACACCTATAGAAATGAAAAGAGTTAAAAAATAATAGAAGGAGCATAGAAATATGTGTTCGCTTGTAAAGAAATTTTTTACAATGCACAAAAGTTAAATTCTCTACACTGAAATTTATTGAAATTGATTGTATTTTTGCATTGAAAACGTGATTTTGAAAGTACAACTTGGAAATAGTTTTGGACTACTGGATTTTTTGCCACAAAAAAGTTGACTTTCCGAAAATAATGGGAAGATGAAACCTAACTAATACTATGTTCGAATTCTACTTACAAAATGAACATTTCCCCTTTTATCGACATTGAGAGACGAAATAACTTTCCTGACTCCAAAATATAGAAAATACAGCGGTTTTTCAATAAGAAGTGAGACACGCCGTATATTCAACATCGACATATCTACATATAACAAAATATATATAGGTAGGTAGGTAGGTCTAAGATGAGTGGGTCTATTCGACCCTCCACCGCAACCCACAAGGGTTTATTGTGGCTCACACCTATTTACACCCTGCCAAATAAAACCAGCTTCTTAACGAAGCCGATTAGTTTGTATGGTGAGTGGTCTTTCAGGTCAGATGATGAGAGTACCTATCTGCCGAATTCTAAGTACCTGATTCGATCCCCAGCGGGGCAGGCCCAAAGTATATGCTCTGCTGTTTCATCATTTTCCAGACAGAGGCGACACACACTGTCTTCCGACAGTCCAAGTCTCTGCATATTATGATGATTCAACAACTGTTTGGTATCAAGCTACGAAGGGTGAATAAACGCCTTGGAGTGAGCCAATTCTGGAAGATTCTGCCAGAAGTCCCTAAATCTTCTTGACATCCACGTGTTCATTGTTTGTTTGCCAAAGCACAAAGGGATGCTTATGACAGGTTCTGGTCCGATGAAGCCACTTGCAGCACCCTCCTTTGCAAGAGAGTCAGCAGCTTCATTGCCTTCCAAGCCCATATGGCCAAGAATCCACACTAGAGACAATCTGTTAGGTCTTCCTATCGAGGAAAGGCGATTTTGGCAGTTTGCTCGGTAGGAGCCAAGAGCTTCCAACTCCGCTTGACTGTTCGAGGATATTTTTATTGACTTGTGAGTGGGGTTGGATTCATCCAATCTCACCACACACAATTCAATAGCATAAATTTCTGCTTGAAATACAGTAGCATAAGTTTCTAGGCAGGTAGATAACTCTGTCCTGGGTTTGCGACTAGAAACACCTGCACCAGAAACGGAAGGTGTTCTTGATCCATCTGTGAACCAGTCCTCTCTACTCGGGAATAGTACTTTATGAGGCAGTTCGTAGTTGACAGTTGGAGGCATAAAATCAGAGGTCATTTCCAGAATGCTGGAACTTCCAATGCCAACTAACAGTCTGTTGCACTCTGCATTGAATTTATTCATGCAATTGGCAATGTGCACAAGTCTGTATGCTCTCTCCAGAAAAATATGGAGAGGAGGTAGATCTAGAAGTATCTTCATTGCCGCTGACAGGGTGGCACCACTGATAGCCAGACAAGCCTGTCTCTTTAAGTCAGAGAGCTTCGCTTGGGCCGTTTTCTGTGAAGCCTTCGACCACCAAGCAATTGCACCATAAGTGATCATTGGTCTGACAATCATCACATAAATCCAATGGATTTGTTTGGGACCTATACCCAAAGTTTTACCACAAATCCTTTGACTGTCCATAGAGACAGTCTGGCTTTGTGTAAAACTTTTTCCAAGTGAGCGTTCCAGGACGTCAAGACAATGCCAAGGTATTTCACCTCCGTTCCAAATTGAATGACCACACCATTGAGGGAAAGTTGCGTTAGATCGTCCAATTTTCTCCTCTTGGTGAAGGGGATTAACACAGTTCCGCTGGGGTTGACAGACATCTGTTCCCTCAGGCACCAACTGTGAATGACGTCCAACGCGCTTTGGAGAATATTACAAGCTACCCTTCCCGACGTGGACCTTGCCAGGATGACAAGGTCATCTGCATAAGCTTGCAGATCAACTTTCCTTCTGTCGAGGGTATCACCAGGAGCATCCACCAGGAGTACCCCACCTTGGGGGCAGCCCCTGGTGACCCTGAACCTGATAGCCTCTCGTTGAAGAGTCGTAGTTGCAGTTCTGTTTACTAGCATGGCATAGATCCAGCCAGTTATGGTCGATTCTATACATTGCATTGTCAAATGCTCCTTCAATATCAAGAAATATAGCAACCGCAATCTCCTTGTTGACAAGGGATTGGGAGATTTTCTCAACGAGGTTATTTAATGCTGAATCTATCGATTTTCCGGTTTGATAAGCATACTGGTGATTATTCGGTTGGGATGCATATAATGCTACCCGGAAATTCAATTTCTATTGATGAGTGAACTGTTGTCCTTATTGCGAATCCGTTGGAATATTCAGCATACGAGCATGACATTTCCAAATATGTACTATTTTTCGCAAAACTGGTTGAATCCATCGCCCTTGGCGAGCAGTGTATGTCGCTCAGATCGACACTAGGCAAAATTTAGACTCGTTGCCGGTATATCCACTAATCCTATAATCAGTGAAGATACGGGGTTATTCACACGAGTAGTGGGACACACTGTATATTCAATATTGACATATCAACATATAACAAAATCTATATTAGAGCACAGTATGTTCCTTTTCGTTCGAAGTTTGTAAATACAGGTACAAATTATATAGTTCGGCAACCGCGCATTTTTTAAAAGGAAAACGAACCGTATTGGTACGAAAGAGTAGTATGTTTCTTGAGCTCATTATATATTACTATTATTGTTTCATCGCTTCGTGATACATTTGAATTCAGTTATTTCTTTGTTTGGGAACAATTTTTGGAAGATCTTACGATTAGAGTTCATATTTCCTTAATTTTCCTACTTTACCGTCCTATTTTCCCTAACTGCCAACGTATTGGATGGAAGAAAGGAACTTGCGACATTTTTTTGGGGTGAGTTGTGAATTTTTTAATCGAATTATTTGCAACACAGCATTTCCAATGATGGATGAACCTGATAACTGGAATTTTCAATTCTACTACCAATACTGATGACAAAGTGATTTTTCAGAAACGAAAATGTTCGAGCAAAAATCTGTAATGGTAGTAAAATTGATGTCCTAATTCCGTTGGAATGTTAGGCCCATATTGTCTCCCAATACCCTGGCGAGCAGTTTATGTCACTCATTTCAACCCTACACAAGATTCAGACTTATCGTCGCTACATCTACTGATCTTGAAATTCACATATTTCTACTCTAAAAATAACAGAAGACAGACACACTGTACATTCAAAATTGACATATCAATATACAAAAAAAAAATATTAGAGCACCTCAAATCATATCATAGAGTGAATTATTGATTGAAATGCTTTTGAAATACTCTTAACCAACACCATTTCATGAGACTTTGAAACCTATTTTTCACTATATGTGCGATTTTCTCATGCTTTTTTCCTGAAGAAATATTTTTTGTGTAATTGTTTTTTTATGAAACATGACAAGTTGATCATAAGAAGCCATTATTTATTGTGGACTTTCGTATGAGTATCTTCAACTCTGAACCTTCTGTATTCCATCTTTCTGATTTTGAGATTGAATGATTCTTATAATTTTTGGAAGAGAAGCTTTTATCGGCTTCCTACTTCTCCATCATTAAACATATGAAGATATGGAAAACTTGCGAAGAAAGTTCCAAAGAAAGTTTTCCACATTTCTCGATTGATAATGAAGAAGTAGAAAGTCCGAAACTTCGTTATAAAAAACTAATAGTTAGTTCTTCTATATTCTATACCATCTATCGAAACATGGGAAAAGGTGTGGTTGGATCCTTCGATTTCTTTGGAAAGTCGAATCATTCAGCATCTACAGGAGTTCATACCAAAAAACTGATGAATATTCCCATTAAATTAAGATGGGATCTTAGTCTAAAGAGTTCTGTGAATATTTTTCTTTCGAATTGCGGTTTAATCATCATTATAATAAAAACACAATTATTTCGAATTACCTGTATGGTTGCAGCAATTTCAGCTCCAAAACCACTAGTTAAAGGTGCCTCGTGTGCGATGAGTACTCTTTTCGTTTTTTTCACCGACTGAAAAAGACCAATCGAAATTAGTAACTTGTTTCGCTGGGTAGGCTTAGACTTTATTGGATTGGACAATTGTTTTTCCCTTGCGTATCTGCTAACTCAAAGGCCCAGAATCCGCTCATCAATTTGAAGTACTCGGTTTCAAAATGAAATTTATTGTGGGTGTATTTCTCGTCACAAATGATGAAAATATAACTTTCCAATATTTCTTAATGAGAATTTCGAATTTCCTCATAGAATACAATTATTGAAATCACTCATACTTATAATTAATATATCGAGTTCGTACACAAGATATTGCATAGGGCTAGATAACCCTTATCAGTTATTGTATTGTGGAAAGTTGTCAATTATGACTTCCCAACATGGCATTTTTCAATAGAAACCTCAGAGGCTTGGTTATGCAATCACGTTTCAGATATCATTTGCATGATATATGTTGTTACTTACTAAAATTTGAAATATCTGATGCATTATTGTATTTTTTTTCAATGTATATATTTACCTTACATATGGTATCCACATCCCATGGCAGTATAGATACAAGATCAATGACTTCACAAGAAATCTGAAACTGTTTTTTCGCTAACTCCGCAACTTCTTTAAGAACATGCACTTGTGTGCCCCAGCCTATAAGAGTGACATCACTTCCTGGAAATGATAAAGAACGAATAAGTTGATAATTCGAAAAACTCATATTCAATTTATACCATTGTACTGAAACACAAATGAAAAAAAAATAGATCATAGACAGGAATCATGTAATGATAATAATAATGTGTCTTTATTCTGGCCAACCTAGCATACATATATATTTTTTTACATTTGGAAAATCAATTCCAATCCCAAGGCCTGACATCAAGGACAAAGTTCAAATTATTAATTCAATATTACTGATTTGTTCTACCACTTAACCTCACAAAACATTATGGAAAATGCGTAGAATACAGAAGATTTGAAAAAACAATAACAGGGACTTTCAACAACTCAAACATCCGAAAACATATAATTTTTTTTTCGATCCCAATAAACTAATCACAATGATTTTTTTAATTTTTTTTTGTAAACCGTTGTACACGTAACCAATTTAGTAACTGAATAAACGTTTGAGAAATTCATCATAGTGAATTGGTGGAGTGAATAGACCTTTTGATCGTATATCGCTTGTATGAGCAGTGGTTCCCAACTTTTTTTTCATATAAGTAAATCGGAATTTTTGTCATGATTATTCTGTGAAATAAGCACGATGCATGCGCATTAACAGTCAACCAACCGATTACAACCAATTTGTTGGAAATACTTTCTTGTCTTCGAACTTCATGAATGAGACGTAAACAGAAATTCTGAATCTTCTGGATCTCATATGTTTTCATTAGAAAGGACCGTACACTGAGTCAGTAAAGTTCAGCATCTTCAGGTTTGAAAGAGACATAGATCTGGGTATCGTCTGCATATAGATGGGAAGAACAATATGTAAGGAAGTTAACGAGCTAGCTGGTGTAGATAGAAAAAAGGAGTGGATCTAGAATTGAACCTCATGGCACTCCCGACTTCAATTCAAGAAGATCCGACTGATGTCACACTCCAGTTTCTAGAAATATTGTACCTCTTTTCAATACTTTTCATAATAGACCTATTTAATTACACTGAGATAGGAGTCAATTCAAGTATATCAATAGAACAGGAAATACTGTTCATATGAGAGTTTCAAAAAAGTTTTGCTTTCCTAATATTGGAATCAATGCAAGTATATCAATAGAACAGGAAATACTGTTCATATGAGAGTTTCAAAAAGGTTTTGCTTTCCTAATATTGGAATCAATGAAGGTTGAAAAATAATATATTCAATATTGAATTTCAACTGTCACTTTTCGAAGTTCTGAAATTTTCTACTCTTTCCAATGGTTCCTATCTATAGGGAAAGTAACAAAATGCAGAGTCTCACCCTAGGGTTCAATGCACATAATTTCACAACTTCTGAATGCTTTTTCCAAAAAACCATAAAAAAACTTATGGCTTTTCTTACATTCCTCTAATTAAACTTCTCAAAATCTTGAGATCCTGGACCCCGGCAGCCGCCACCTCAGACCTGTTACAGTGCAACCACACACGTTTAGAACAATTTTCCTGTCGCGTACTATAAAACTCTTGAATATTCAATGTACTTAACGTTCATAAACTCTGTCGATTTTGTCCAAGTTTTCAATTTGTTGATACATTTGTTGTGTTCAGTTCATTTCTGCTTTTATGCTTCCAGTTGTTTTCATGCATGTATGCTTTCACCTAGTAGTACACTAAACAAAATATACTATTGTACAAATATTTTGATGACTCTACGATTAGTTGAAATTAACGAATTCAGAATATTATTTTATTTAATCCGCTTTTGAATTAATATCCACAGTGTCACCATTAAAGTGCGCACCATATGGGAAACTTTTTTTCGAAATGTTTCAATGAAGTTTAACTTTGGCACTTGTTTGTTCTTTAAATTCAACTTAAAATAATGCGGCCAACTGCGACCCACTGACGTTCAGTGTTTGTCAAATTCAACTTTTTTTTTAAAAAAATTGAAAAAGTGCATTTCTAGATCGAATTTAACAAAAAGTTACTNGCATTTTGTTTGTCAAGACCTACTTAAAAATTTTATTCAACGTGATTAAGCATCCTTACCGCCCTAGTTAGTGTTTATAAATAATCTGTAAATACTGAATATTGCAATTTTAATGTAATTTCAACTCTAGTAATTTCATTATTACTTATTGCAGTTTTTGAGTTGTGTCTGCTTTTTCAAACTTGAAGGTACTGACGTTTGTTTGAGAAAATAGCCAAGTGATTGAAACTCTGCACCAGACATGTTAAAATTTTATATCTCATTTTTAATTTCCCTCTAAAATTGTCCGTATGAGTAAAAATTTATCAGAAAAGTTGAACTCCATGATGAGTTGGTTATGTATACATGAATAAATGACAATTACCCGAACTTTTTTTTTTAAATAAAGGGGATATCTATCAAAAATAAGCAAAACGTTAACTTCATTCCAGTTGCATAAAATTTGGCATATGGATATAAAATTGCCGTAGACACAACTTTTTCAAGTAACTTTGTATTAAATTCGATCTAGAAATGCACTTTTTCAATTTTTTTCAAAAAAAAAAGGTGAATTTGACAAACACTGAACGTCAGTGGGTCGCAGTTGACCGCATCATTTGAAGTTAAATTTAAAGCACGAACAAGTACCGAAGTTAAACTTCATTGAAACTTTTCGAAAAAAAAGTTTCCCATATGGTGAGCACTTTAATGGTGACACTGTATAAATATCTCGAAAGTTGAAATTTATCCTGAAGGATGAAAAATTTCACTCACAATACCACTGTGTCTCCTTAGGCGAATCCAGGCACTGAAAGACTCTCTTAAAAATGTTTTCTTCACACATAGAATAGATATCGGTTCAAACTTATATCCCATTCAAATACAGGAAGTCTACCGATTCTAAGTTTGACATTACTGAAAGTAGATATAAATCTCTCTGTACCTCACTTCGCACTCTACTTCAATCACTATGAAAAACAACTCTGTGATTAAACGAATTGATAAAAGTACGTGTTGACGTCTATTCGTATACCTAACTGTAAAATGAATACAGATAATCAAAAAAACAATATGGACTCTGAATAAGTGTCGGAATTTTGATTGTGATTTGCTACTATTGTACTATTGCAAACTGCTCAGAAGAATTCCAAAGGCCCAAGGCGCCTAATACTTGCATATTTGTAAACCAATAACTACCTAAACATCTAATTAGGTTAGTGATCATGAGCTGTTGTTGGCTCTTTTCTTTGGAGAAGATAGAAGTGACTATCCACCACCAGATCTGTTGATCGTTTCGCTGCTATACAGAAGAATGAGAGACTGAAAGCACGAGTAGCAAACCACCTGCAAGTCAACTATCTCGAAACCTACAACTACAGTATCTCCTACATGTGAACCTAATCTTTCGCATTCACATTAACTACAAAGTGGTAACTGACAACCCAAGAAAGAAAGCTCCATCCCAACAAAGGTTGAAAATTCATCACTCGAAATAGTTTCATGGCCAACTTGTCTAATGAAAATCTGCAGGAAGGCTCCTGTTACTTCAAATTAATTTTGTTCACTTAGTATGTTCAAATAATTGATCATGGTTTGTTTATAAAAAAGACGATTTTGACATTGAAAATAATTTGAAAAGTTATAAAAATGAAGATATTGACTTGAAACGTTTGATTCCTGGTTCATTTCGACTTGAAATCAAATGAATTCACAGTAGGACTGACTAGTCCGAATATCTCCATACAAAGCAAGTTCACATGATGGTCACCCAAATAGTGTGATTGACCATTTATATATCAACAAGTCAGTAATNTCTTTCGATGAAGGTAGGAGGGAGTTTGGGTACTGATTATTTTATGATATAAGGTGGAGCAGTGAAGTTTTCGGCGAGATTCCATATTTTCAAATAGTCATTGTTCATAGTTCGAGAAATAACGACCAAGTATTCTCCGGAGTAGTTGTTTCAATATTCCTACAAGCCATTCCAAAAACCTCCCCACCAAGCTGCTGTAGACTTAATTCAACTAATTTACTAATTTGATTCAATTAATTAATCCAATAAATTCGCTGCATCGTTGTATGGTCTGAAATAAGTTTTCAATCTATACGGCATTGAATGCGTTTTCAGCGCTCCCAAAGTTGGGCCCGTTATCACCGTATATTCTACTAAGTCGACCACATCGCGCCATGAACTGCTTCGAAACTTAAATCATTCAGTGGGTGGAAAAAGTGGTAGCCAGTTCCTGTAGCACAGTATACCGCACACGTGAATAGACAAATCTACTGCTTCTCGCCCGATTTCATATCAAACAGTGTAACAAAGTCTACACCCGTGATTTCAAATGCTTTTGCATTCCGCACTTTATCTAATGGAAGCGAAGGAGTTGGATTTTGAAATTTTTTCGCGTTATATGGGCGATAAATGACGTATTTTTTATGACAGATCGAATTCTGCTTTCGACATGACTGATACCTCGATCGTTTTTGAATGGACATAGATAGTTGAGATTGTAATAATGTATGTCATGAAACTTCCATTCTGAATATAACGAATAATGAATATTTCAGCTTTATCTAATTCTGCAACGCTCAAATAATCTTTTTTCTTAAGTTTTGTGAACAAAACGATAAATCCATGCCACTAATCGGATTGTTTTGTGATATTTTGAACTAAATCCGATGTGCCATCCATCCGAATTGTGATTGAGCATTGTTGTAATCAACGATTTATTTTTTTCTCCGATAATATCTTTCTCTTCCTACATGATTTTTTCATATTATGGCCAAGATGTTGAGGGTCCATACAGCTACGCGGCCCCCTCTTACCATTTTGACCCATACAAATGACGAGGAGAATAGTCTCGTGAAAAAGATCCGCTGGATTCAATGCATCTGAGATATGGCACCAAGATTCAGTATCAATCAATCCACGAATTTCTTGCACTCAATTTACTACAAATGTTCCCATCTGGGAATTTCATATTTTCCGAATGAGATATTTTCAATATCCACCTCGTAAAGGAGTTTCAAGATTCATCATCTACCGGTTCATCCCAGTGGAGTTGGTTTTTCGAAGCGACTATAGTAACATCTCAGAAAACAAATTTGCTGATAAAGTGAATAGGATCGAGAAATTTCTAGGTCATAGAAGGAATTACATATTCAGTAACAACTTGCTCATTCGAATTTATTACAGTATATTCATTGATCTTTCNGCAATCCCAAAGTGTGGAAGATGCCAGTTGTTTTCATCATTCTGTACTTCAGATGCATGTAACTTCCTGGCGTATCCTTTTTGAAGATACCCAGTAATCTTTACAGTATACTCTTCAGCAAATTTGGCATTCTTGTCCATTTTGCGTTCCATACAATACAGACAATTCAGGGCATTAGTTTTACTAGGCGGTAGAGTAGGGTTGTCACGTTTCCATAAGTGTCCTATTTCGTAATTATTACCGACTTTTTTTCCATGATCTACACCGCCCTTTTGTGTTCGATTGATTTGATAACATTTTCTGGTCACCATTTCATGCAGTTTGTCATCATTCAAATGTCGCAAACAAAGAGCTACATGGGAAAGAAATGTTTCGGTTTCACTGGTAGGACCATGCACTGTCCATCCAAATTTACATTGAGACATAATGGGCTGATGCAATTGTGGTTGTATGATATTTTTCGGTACAATGAGGCCATAATTATCCTGACCGATCAACAGCTCCGGTTTGGCATTTTTTTTGATAACAATAGATCACAGTCTAAATAAGGATATTTTTGTTCAAAATATCAACATCTATTTCTTGAGATGGAAGTCGCAAATTCTGCACGATTCTCACTTGTTTCAGCGTGAAGAATTTTGTGGGTTACTAGAAGCAGCGATATCTACAGAGACCATTCTTGAACGATCTTCCTAGTGAGTTATTTCATTACTCCATTGGAAATAGAGGAGAACAATCGGTCCTGGAAGTGGTAATCTGTGAGCTAAGTCTTCCTCAAGCATGGTACATGTTCATCCTTCATCAAAGAGTGCGTAAGTCGGCATATACCCAGCTGGTCGTCTGAGAAGCACAGGTACGATTCGTAGTAGTACAGTTTTTGTTTCATTTCGCATCGACATATGCCCAAATTTGAGTCAGAGGAAACAAAATTTGAGGTTAAGAACATTCTTTCGTCTTTCATTCACTGATAATTCAGAGAATTTCGTACATTTTGATAATATGTGGTCTAGCTTTTTACAAAAAATGCACTCACTAGTTTTATTCTTCAAAAAACTATCTCTTTTTCAAATCATGACAGTTTCTCTTCTGATTCCTTGATAGACCATTTCTTTGAAAAGGATTACTGAAAGGGGCCATCGAGTTGAGCTCTTCTTCAAACCATTCAGAAAAAGCTCCTAATGATGTTGGTATTCCTTTCAAATCACGTTGATTCTTGAATTTTTTTCATGCATAGTAGGAAGCTTGTCTACCAAATTTGCTAATAGATCTGGATTGTATAGATACAGATGAGAATGGACGTTTTTCATTGTGATTACCATGTTATTTACAACATAAGAAAAATAAATCCATGTCTCCCACTTGTCTTCTTTAAAGTTACTAGATTTCTTTGCCTTTTCTATCAGAGAAAAATTATCCACTCCGGTGTACCAAAATTCATTTTTAGCATCTTGATAATTTTGGAGACGTTTCTCGGGGAAATGAGAAGGGCTTTGACGGTTTCTCTTGCTTTGCCCTTCAATGTCCGGTTCAAACGGATCAAATGATGCCAATTATTTTCCAAAAATTGAAAAATTCAATTTGATGAGACAAAAATAGCATTTTCCCTTATCGCTTTATTACCGACATTAACAAACTGCTTCATTATCACTTCCAACCAAAAAATGAAATAAACTAAATGTTGATCATATATCAGATACTGAATATCTTACAGGCTGTAATCTACTACTNAAAATATATAACGAGGTTCTATTCGTAATTTATGAACTGAAAACATTATGGGTAATGAAATACAAGTTCCACTTTCCAAATATCACTAAGTGTTGAATAAATATTCGACAACCTCTATCTACACTGCAGAATTGAGAGCAACTCTTGAAGCGTTGCAATACATAAATTTTCATAACATCCCTCAATGTCTAATAACAATAGACTCATTGGGTGCAGTAACCTCATTGAATCAACTCTATCCTAGCCATCCGGTTCTGATGAAGATCAAAACAGAACTATTAAATATTCACCAAAACAACATTCAAATCCAATTTATTTGGGCTCCCTCACATATCGGAATAGAGATCAATGAAAAGGCCGATAGTCTAGCCAAGGATGCCACAAAACTTCAAGAGTGCACAATTACTCACCCCAACATTTATTATTATCTAAAACTGCACATCAGGAAAGCCGTAATATCCAAGTGGCAGACGAAATGGAACATCTCTAAAACCAAACTTTCAGAAATCAAATAAACAGTACTACCATGAAGCAATCTACCTCAGAAGAGAAACATTCAAACAACTCTATCCAGACTACGAGTTGAACATACACGCCTAACTCACAGTTATCTCCTCAAGAAAGAAGAAGTCCCCACGTGCTAAATCTGTGAAACAACTTTGAATCACTTTTTGGTGGAGTGCCCGCTATACATAGATAAGAGATTAGCCAATGAAATGACAGAAGATCTAAAAGTGTTACTGAACGGTCAGTCAAACAATAAACTAATAAAATTTCTGAAAGACATCAATTTTTTACATGAAATATAGTTACTTCAGATTAACTTATTGTAGTCAATGTGATATAAGAAACATATTATGTAAATTACTATGAAGCCAATAACCCCTGGCGGTTGAGGCTTAAATTAAAAAAAACATGAATCATGCTATCCGTTAGAATCAGCCTGATTTATGCGCCAGAATAAAAAAGTAGGACGTTTCGGATGTTATATTTCACATATAATGGCATCAATAGGTGTTTCAAATGAATAAAAAAATTTGATGATATCTCACACACACAATTTGAAGATAGAAAGTGCTTAATGAAAGATCCATACTTTCTGAAACGTGAACATTGAATGTAATATCATTCTTGTCCTCAAATCATTCCATTCCCTGATTATTGAGCCCAACCGGAAAATCCATACCTATGACATTCAAGACAGTAGAGAAATATGAATATGCTATAGTAACATCTGACACTTCAGCACCTTCCTCCACTTGATGCATTCAGACGTTCATGATGGTTCACATATGAAGATCCCCTCAGTGCACTGAACTTATCGATGTTCACTTCCAGTAATAAACTTCTTCACAAGTCCAACCTCGATTACAAAATCAATAGTACTATTCAATAAAATTAAAACTTGAGGAAAAAGTAAACCTGAATTACGTTTCTGAAATTATGATGTCTAAGCGATAATTCATCATAAAATCCATCAAATATGGAATTCAAACCAGAAGATTTGTCTATTTTATCATTTCGAGAGTTGAAAGACTTGGTGTCCCAAATTTTGGGTTTGTAGAATATAACTCTCAAATACTTTCAAATTCACATTGATGATTTCATGCAGACATGTACACTATATACCTGGTGAGGTAGCATCCAACTTGAAGAGCTAACGGAAAGTTAGTGGATCTTCGTGGTATGTAGACGTGTGTATACTTAGTAAAAACTTGTACATTGTTACACCGTGAGTTTACTTTATATGTAATGTGGCTCCTCATTCTCAAGATCAAATTTCATATTCTGAATCAAACTCCACGTCCAAGATCATATTCCATGACCATAATTCATGGACGTCTTTCAAGGTGAAATCTGAGACGTCCTTCAAGGTCAAACCTCAGACGCACGTCAAGATCAAAACTCGAGGGCATGTAACTGAAACAGGCTAGAATATCAAATGCAAGCCCCTTATTCAAGATCATATGACCTTGCACGTAGCTCAAGGGCGCGTGAAGCCAGTTTCAATCAATGCTAGCAATGACGTCATTGTGGTGGGGAAAACCCGAGTACCAACTATAATCTCCTAATCTAAACTACAGTTTGGTTATCAAGTCACGCTTCCCAAATATCATGTTACTTTTGTGCTTACCCTGTACCAAAATATCAGCTCGACCTATTGGTAGCTGGTAATCACCTACTGGCACTTCATCTACGGCTGCTCTGTATAAAATTTTTGGTTCAAGAACCAAACACGGATCACTATCCCTGATACAGCTCAATAAGAGACCTTTTGCTTTGATGGGACTTCTTGGAACAACTACCTAAAAAGTACCAAAAGTTGCTTGTATTCAAAGAAAGTTGATTCAAGAAAATAAAACTTCAAACCTTCAAACTTTAAACTATCTTCAAGGTTACTCCAGAAATTTCAATTGATTTTTTGAGAGTGTGTCAGTTGTTTCACATATTCAATAGACCACTAGGTGAAACGTTTGTTTGTGCCGAGAAGCTGGACGATAAATCCCCCTGTCTATCGTCCAACCCTTGTGAGTAATCATATGTTGAAATATAAGACCTTGTTGATTTTTCACTCGGAGAATTTTTAACTTTTGAGGGTTGTCATTCGAATGAGGCGACAGCTGATTAACGGATGAAAATATTCGAAAGATGTTTTATTGTTTCTGAATTCAAAATCACGTATTATTCCCAAACACCAGAATTCAACACTCTTTTCGACGCGCGTTTCATCAACCAAATCGGTGTCTCCGAGAGATGAAGTACATTTCATACCTTTTTTCAGTAGATGAAATACACTTCATTTCCTGAAGACACCGATTGATTGGTGAAACGCGAGTCGAAAAGAGTATTGATTTTTTGTATTTATAAACCGTACGTGTTTCGGATTCATCCTACACCAGAGGTTTCACGTCTACCTTCAATTTCTTTTCAAATTGATCATTTCTCGGAAACCATATTAATGGAATTTTGATCATTCCTGTTTTTTTTTGGATAAAATCGAAAAAATGAACTCCATTTTTCCGATGTTCATCTATAGAAGATATTTCAGTTAATAAGGGATACATTGTAATTGAAAAAACCGAATGGAAAATAGAAAAACAGTCTCAGAAAGACAATTTGTTGTAGACTGCCTTCTCTATTGTGAAGGTGATGGGAAGTCTTACGCTGTTGATGTGCTTCAGGAAGATGTCTAGTTATGTATTCCCATGGTTCCATATCATGAAGGGATCGTTGACATTTTCATGAATTATACGTTGATGACACCTTCATAATATGGAACCATGGGAATACAGAATAAAAGACGATTTTGACATTGAAAATAATTTGAAAAGTTATAAAAATGAAGATATTGACTTGAAACGTTTGATTCCTAGTTCATTTCGACTTGAAATCAAATGAATTCACAGTAGGACTGACTAGTCCGAATATCTCCATACAAAGCAAGTTCACATGATGGTCACCCAAATAGTGTGATTGACCATTTATATATCAACAAGTCAGTAATGAAAGCTTCATCTTAAACACACTCAACATTCAAACATTAACTACCAGAAAATCAATTTGCACTATAACTAATACTCCATGTGGTACGTGTTCAAAATAACATCTACTTACAATTCATCAAGTATAGACTATTTTCTACTCGACATCATTTCTGTTTACAGATATCCAAATTCTCTAGGAAGTGAGAAGCACCGAATAGCCAATATTATTCTTGAATAATGGAACTATTCTCATATAGTGAGTGTCACTGATTCGATACAATAATTTACTCGCTCATCCACGAATCTCAAGTTTTTCGGTCTCAACTCAAACACGGTTTCGAAAATCGTTTGAGAACCGCAAAACACTTACGGATAACATTCAGGTTGAACAAAAATGTACAAAAATCAACTGACACCAACTGACCACTCCTAACTTCTGAAAGTACCTAATTAACAATCTCTCAAATCTCTTGTTGACGATACTGCATCGCATATGTTATTAGTGCCTGCGATGTCATCGATAGATTTCAACGGATGGAATGAGTTGGGTGATATACCCTGAAAGCCAATCGAGGCGTTCATTATTTTCCTTTCCAACTACTTCACCAAGTTTAACTTGCCGCAGTAGTTTTTGGTTCTTCATCAACTTCAAATGTCCTATATATTCATTTCGAAAATATCTCAAATTCTCCCGTAATTTTTGTTGGTGTCGCATTTTCTTATTGTAAGTTGTTTCTATAGCAACGCTCAGGTACTTCGTGTTGCCAGGAGTCAGAAGAGTTAGGTCATGTGGTGAGTAAGGGGGGGAGGCTTGGATTGACTGCTGTCTCACAATCACAAAATAATAATAATAATAATATTCTTCATTCAGTAGAACACAGGATTATAAAAAAAATGAAACCTATCAAATACGCTACAACATTTCCTACGCAAACTGAAAAGGCGGAGTTCATCTTGAGCAGCTGGAGTGCACAAAGATGGTCTTCCACTCAACCTTTGGATAAACAGAACAAAAGATCGCAGATGACTAATTCAAATTGAATGAAACTATAGATATATGTGCTGATTCAAATAACCGCTTTCTAGATATTAGAGGATTTCATAAATTCAAACAAATTTTTTCGAAAGGAAGAGAGTTTCATATTCTTAAAATCATTTGGAATAGCATTGTAAGTGATCGATACATTATAGGAAAAACTTCTCTCAAACTATGATGATTTATGGATTGGTGGTGTTATAGTACCTTTCGATCTTATATTAAGATTGTGAACGTCAGTGCNAACAAAGTTGCTGAAAAAGTGAATAGTATCGAGAAATTTCTAGGTCATAGAAGGAATTACATATTCAGTAACAACTTGCTCATTCGAATTTATTACAGTATATTCATTGATTTTTCGGGAATCTGATGATGGATTCCAAATCAATCCAAGTAATGAAATCTTAGGGTGATCACCCTCTGTTCGTGTAGACTCCCACCCTCGCAACTCGAACTTTCTCTAAAATTGTACTCGCTTCTCGAATGGATGATCGTAAAGATTTATCATTGGAAAGGCTGGTCGCACAGTTGCTAACCGTTCAAAACTGTTTCCCCCTTTGTACAAAGTGGTGAAATTAGAATATTTTTCGAGAGTGGTACTAAGATAATATTCAAGGGATGCTCCGAGCGAAAATGGACAACACGTTACACCGAATATCACTCTACAATTACGATAAATTATATCTCGTCCATTTCAGTCAATCCATAGGAGACTTAAAACACTATGTTAGAAGTGGCAGAAATTTTTTTAAAAAATTTCGTCAAAATTGAAGGTATACGGTCGATAAAAGTTGGCTCCTTTGGGACTCATTGATTGAGCAAGGGTTGGCCTTGCTCATGTGCTGATGCATCGAATACCAGTCTGATTTCAGTTTTGACGCTATTTTCCTTCAAGACTGGCACATGAAGTATGTAATGGACTCGAGTTTTCCCATCAAAATACTTAACTTAGTCTACAATTTTCTCCTGTAACCATTCATTGAAAATGCAGTCATATGACTCAATGTGATATCAAATATTTTCCTAGCCAATGATCGATAAGGGTAGTTGTCCATTCAATCATGATAACTTTACTTCATATCTACCCTCATTATTCATCAGTCTGCATGAATAAATCCTCAGCAGCTAATTCCATCTCTTTTCTTGATATCTGTTTCACGGGGTCATCTATGCCTGAAATGTCGTGCGCCCATAAATTCGTTAAAGAGAGGCCTTTGACTAGAAGATAAGTCCAAGATTTGCTATTTTGCCAATATCATTTTTGTGATATGAAAGTTTATCCATTAGCGTCCACCCTAGTAAAGTTCCTACTACCAATAATTCGCACTGCAAATTATGTCNACGTATTTTTTATGACAGATCGAATTCTGCTTTCGACATGACTGATACCTCGATCGTTTTTGAATGGACATAGATAGTTGAGATTGTAATAATGTATGTCATGAAACTTCCATTCTGAATATAACGAATAATGAATATTTCAGCTTTATCTAATGCTGCAACGCTCAAATAATCTTTTTTGTTAAGTTTTGTGAACAAAACGATAAATCCATGCCACTAATCGGATTGTTTTGTGGTATTTTGAAATAAATCCGAAGTGCCATTCATCCGAACTGTGATTGAGCATTGTTGTAATCAACGATTTATTTTTTTCTCCGATAATATCTTTCTCTTCCTACATGATTTGTTCATGTGGCCAAGAAGTTGATGATCCATACAGCTACGCGGCCCCTCTTACCATTTTGACCCATACAAATGACGAGGAGAATAGTCTCGTGAAAAAAGATCCGCTGGATTCAATGCATCTGGGATATGGCGCCAAGATTCAGTATCAATCAATCCACGAATTTCTTGCACTCAATTTACTACTAATGTTCCCATCTGGGAATTTCATATTTTCCGAATGGGATATTTTCACTATCCAGCTCGTAAAGGAGTTTCAAGATTCATCATCTACCGGTTCATTCCAGTGGAGTTGGTTTTTCGAAGCGACTATAGTAACATCTCAGAAAACAAAGTTGCTGAAAAAGTGAATAGTATCGAGAAATTTCTAGGTCATAGAAGGAATTACATATTCAGTAACAACTTGCTCATTCGAATTTATTACAGTATATTCATTGATTTTTCGGGAATCTGATGATGGATTCCAAATCAATCCAAGTAATGAAATCTTAGGGTGATCACCCTCTGTTCGTGTAGACTCCCACCCTCGCAACTCGAACTTTCTCTAAAATTGTACTCGCTTCTCGAATGGATGATCGTAAAGATTAATCATTGGAAAGGCTGGTCGCACAGTTGCTAACCGTTCAAAACTGTTTCCCCCTTTGTACAAAGTGGTGAAATTCGAATATTTTTCGAGAGTGGTACTAAGATAATATTCAAGGGATGCTCCGAGCGAAAATGGACAACACGTTACACCGAATATCACTCTACAATTACGATAAATTATATCTCGTCCATTTCAGTCAATACATAGGAGACTTAAAACACTATGTTAGAAGTGGCAGAAATTTTTTTAAAAAATTTCGTCAAAATTGAAGGTATACGGTCGATAAAAGTTGGCTCCTTTGGGACTCATTGATTGAGCAAGGGATGGCCTTGCTCAATGTCTAACATGTCTAACATGTCGTGCGCCCATAAATTCGTTAAAGAGAGGCCTTTGACTAGAAGATAAGTCCAAGAATTTGCTATTTTGCCAATATCATTTTTGTGATATGAAAGTTTATCCATTAGCGTCCACCCTAGTGAAGTTCCTACAACCAATAATTCGCACTGCAAATTATGT